GGGATTATTACTGAGCGTGTGTGTGTGTGTGTGTGTGTTAGATACACACACACACACACGCACACTCTGATAATGATTCAAGGAGGGAAGGGGATTTGCACAAATGTTGATCTATTATCTTGTCATTTTGGCAACATTATTCCCGACTGTCATTCCAATGAGGCTGGATGAAGTGAAGTGAAAGAGAGAGAGAGAGAGAGAGAGCCTTCAGCCCTCAGGATTGAACAGCCTCCCACACACTTCATAGAGCACCAACACACACACACACACACACACACACACACACACACACACAGCCTTTTGTTCTTCCTGCATGGTTAATGCCCACACAGTGTTCATACCTTCAGGGTTTGGGCATATGTGTGTATGAGTGTACTTGCACATACCTGCAAGTACCTCAGTTCTCCTGAATCTCTTGTAGCTTCCCTTCTATCAACCCCTCTGCATAACAAGCGCCCGCACAACATCTGTCTTGTCGAGCTCAAGAGGTCCAAAGAACATTTTGTCCGAGGAAATTGGGTTACTGAGACACAGTTGGTGCTATCCTGAGGAATTCTTGAAACTCTTTAAGGACAGGTGTGTTTGCAAAGGTCACAGCAGGACTAACCGTCGAGAAAAGATCCCACAAACTGTCAGAAACTGTCCGAAGAGTGTTTTTACTTACAAATATGCAACAATTCAGGGTTTTTGTTGCGGGCTTAAATGTGTCCATGATACCAAATCGTGAAAACTGTCAAGTAACAAAAGCTGGCATTAAATGCCACATTTCCTAGTAACCCTATTCAGGACTTTCATGTTGCCATATGTGGAAGGTCTTTCAGGGTCCACTGGACCCCAAGAAAGAATATGTGCAACATTTTTGTTGGTATTCCTTATAGACTTTTATACTATGTTAAATACATTTTCTGATAAGTTGACGTATTTTTGGTTCCAATTCCACGACAAATGTCCCTCTTTTTATATTTTAAAAAAAATCTTCAAAAACTAAAAAATAATAGCTGTCACCTAAACCAAATAGCCTGGGCTCCAAAAGACCCCGAAAGTCCTGAATAGGGTTAAAGAAATATGACTTCTTTTGTTAAGTAAAGGGAATTGTGTTTACACATCTCATAACAAAACTGGGTTTGTAGAATACACAAAGGGTTAACAGCATTTCCAGACACCTGCAGTAAAGGTTTGGATTTATAGCTGGGTGTTGGTTTGGACTGACTGATATCGCCACCACAACATCTGACTGATATATTATTACTGATAGTATGTCATTGCATGTTGTTATGCAACATACAACCATTGCTAGGAGTAGAGGGAACTCTGAAATCTCATGTGCAGTTTTAGACAGTTGTAATGCCATAAATCATAAAAAAAGAAAAGAAAATGTTGCATTTTATTTTCAAAAATGTAAAAGAAAACGAATCAACATGTGTAACATTTTCCAAGTTCAACTGTTACTAATCATAGGAAAAAAAGCCTCTACATAACATGGATGTTTTTCTACTTGTCTCCTATCTGCTCTGTGTGAACACAGGCTGCAGTTCAGCCCAGTTAAGCTGAACAGTCCCTACATTTTTGTCACTTTTCTGTCACTAATGGCTTTATGGTTGCACCAAAGTGTGCAGAATTTTTATTTATTTATTTATTTTTACCATTTCTGGCTCTGATAACTTGTGTAATTTTAGTATATGTATGTCTTTTTTTTTTAAGACAACATGCCAATCAAACCAGGCAGCAGTGTTTGGGGTTCAGAGGGTTAATTGCCTCATCTCATTTCTCACTTCAGGTGACTGCTGCTTTGCAAATTCAGTAAGACTACCATCTCCAGACCGTTTGCAGTTTAGACTTCTTTTAGATGTGAGTTATTGAAAATGAGAAGATTTCTGTTTTTCTTCTCTAGTCCATATAACAACTCTGTATACCATTGCATTTTCACAGCTCTGGTATAGTTGTGAGCTGTGAATCATTTCTTATCAATAAATCCTGAGGCACCATTTATATTTCGCTGTGACTCTGCAGTTGGTCAAGAAATTCATGGAGGTGTTTGTATGCACTTTATGAGAAACACACTTTACAGCATCCTGGACGTTGCTGTTTGTGGCTCAAGCGGTGGGATTCGAATATCTTGTGAATGTGACTGGATAACTGAAGACACATTATAACGCAAACAGGACCATTCAGTTGCCTACTCACAAATACAAAAGAGAAAGTTATCAGGTCTGTTATTCAAAGTAGAAGCATGCAGCGGGTACAAAACCACCCAGGTCTATTTCTATGTCTATGAAAGCTAAGCTGATCTCTGCTCCTTTATGTTAAGTAACTCTGGTTATTTAAAGCATTCTGATAGATCACTGTGTGCAAGTGTTTGAGAGTGTGTGCCTTACTATTTTTACCTCTCAGTATAGCCTCTGAATGCGCCTTGTTTTGACCTACCTACAACTTGGGTGTCTCGTCCTGCCCTTTGCCAGCCCACACACACACACACACACACACACACACAACTGGCACATATGCTTCCCACGCTCACACACACACACACACACACACATACACGCACACATAAACAGCGCCAGTAGCTATGTCTCTCCTACGCACAGGAACTGGGGCAGGTTGTGTCGGTGAACGTATGAATAAAGCTTTATGTAAGCCATTCACTACACGCTCCCACTCACTGTGCAGACTGTGACCATTGAAAACTTTCATTACAAAACCAGTCACCTTACATAAGGTTAAACACAAGTTTACCCAAGAATTATCTGCATGCTTTAAGGTCACACTCACTGCTGGGTTATTATGGGTGTGTGAGTCAAGGAGGTCAGGTGGCTGTTGAGGTGTGTGTGATAGCAGATGGTAAAGTTGCAGCGGGCGGGTTCATCCATTGGCGACCCCAAATGGCAGCAAGAGGTACAGTAGAAGTGCTAGTGGTAGCTCCAGATGATTGGTCAGGAGGCTAAATGTGTCTGTTTAGATTGAGAAAGGGTGAACTTTTTTTTGGTGAGTCCAGCTTTCAGTGAGTACATGTTTCTCTCAAAGTTAGAGGCTGCAGTAGAAGTTAAATCAAGTCAGTTGCGTGAATCTACTATAATTTCCATTACCATGCAAATCATATGAAATCGACATCTTTCTCACCATCCGTGTTTTCAAAATTTTTCTCAGTACAATTTGTCTAAATCCCCGTGTTACCTAAATTACCTTATTACCTCTAATAGCAGTATGGGACTGTCATTCTGATGTGTACAATTTGTGAGTTGGCATGTTGCCATGTCAGGGTTTCATGTCCAAAATGTGACTTCCATTTCTTCTTGTGGGTGTCAGATAATAGAAAGCGTGTTATAATGAAGTGCAGAGGCATGAACACTCATCTTTGAATCATAAATAAAAAGTGAATCAGGGAGTTTTTACTAAACTGTCAAGTGGATTGAAAAGGAGATGTTCAAGCGGTATGAGATGACTTGTTGTAAATATGCGCTATACAAATAAATTAAATTCTTCACTAAACCTACAATTATTTAAATCTCAACTAAACTGGACTTTAATCAGCTTCCCATTCCCCAACTATGGTACCTTTATTACTTCTTCTAGCTATGTTGCATTTCCAGTGTGTTAGGTGTCAAAAGACACATAAGTCATGTCACCCTGACACCTCTAGGTTTCACCATTGTAGAATGATACCAGGCACACTATTGTGTTTGAAAGTGCTTTTCAGGGTCTTGCTCACAAACTTTGTGTCCAAGTTATGACCAAAGACAGTCTACGTTTGCCCATAGTTATGTCAGTTGACCTTCCAATTAGCATCATCGCGACTATGTTGCCTGAACTGAATTGAATACCCATTTTTACCCAATAGAGGAGTCAGTCTTTTAGGTTTCATACCACATTCTTGCACTCTTAACACCATGGAAAACACAAAAATATGACCCAAGTCTGAGATAATGTTTCTGGCATGTGTTTGTGTGTCTGCGTGTTAGCGAATGTGTGTGTAGTGGGGGGGGGGGGTTACATTTGAAAAACACAAGGTAGCCCAAATTTAACGTTCTTGCTGCTAAGAATAAAGCATGTTTTCCTCAGGTGCTATTTATAGAACTCACGTTGGGCCCCCAGACACGCACGTCACTGAGTCCTGCTTACCAGCACTGAGGCCACAGTGTGTATAGATGTGAATGTGTGTGTCTGTGTGTATTTCTGTCGCAATCTGAGTGCGAGGGAGGTTGTTTAAACCCCAAGATGAGGAAATACAAAGCAAAAAAAAAAAAATGCAACTTCAGCAGGCATGTTTATGTGCGCTCTGCGGCTCTGTGCTTCTCCTGCTGTCAGGTGTTGGTGTGGTTAAGAAACGTTAAACAGCGGAAACACACACTGTGTCTCTTGCAGTTTTGCATTGCACTTGCAGTGTCTGCATGCACTGCATTCATGTCTGTGTGTGTGTCTCTTTTTTTTGTTTCTGTGCGTGTTCCCTTGTTTGCTTTTCAGCCGCACACATACTAAGTTTTATAAAACTCTGACACTCAGAGAAGAAGGAAAGGTGCTAGCGCTGATGGCTCCTCTTCGACTTGGCCTTTTTGGACGCCTACACACATTATGACACTCCGACGTCACTTCCACAGCGCTATTTATAAGCCTTTGTGTCTTTTTAGGAACAGCGTGGGTTTGCTTTTCACCGGTGACTCACTGAGTGGAAGGAGGAGGGAGGGCGGGAGGGAGGAGAAAGGGGCGGAAAAGGCAAAAAGCACAGATGGATTCCAGTGTGAAGAAACTAACTGAGCAATCAATGACATTTACATTCACACATCAGGCATGTTCTTGACAACTTAATGAGTCCTCTTTGCACAACAAAGTATATGGTAGTGTGTTGTGTTTAGCAGCCAAAATGTCACATCCACACTAAACCAACGTATGGTAAGAGGGAGATGTCAGGTTAAACGATCTGTACAGCACTGAGTCTGATTGTTGTAAATGAATGATTTTGGACACAAAACTAATTAGTTTTTCTCTCTTCTGTTTTGCTGCAGGTCTCTTTGTGAGAAAACCGAATGACTTTTGAAGCTACAGAAAGAAGATCTACAAGCACTTTTGCCTGAAGAAAAGTTAGTATTTATCCTATGAATATTTAACATGTTGATAACCATGATTTACTGCGTCATTAAATACTATGTTTGCTTTAAAAAGCTCTCTACAAGTCCACCAAAGTTTTCTTTTTCTGTCCTCTCCAGATCACTCAAAGATTCTTCTGCCTTTAGATGAACTGGACACAAAAACAACGCACAGCAACATTAGTGTTTTTACAAAATGGCAAAAGGAGAGAAACATCTCTGATGTTACCCACTAAAGCTCCCCTTTTCTTCCACTTCCTGACTCCTGTTCCCAGCCTGGCTCTACAATCAGTCTATTTCAGCAATGGATGGGTACCTCCTGTTTCTGTGAACTTGTTGGCAGCCCTTAAAGGTTCAGCTATCATGCCTGGTAGTTTGGGGACCTTGTAACCCTCCACAACGTACCCTCCCAACTCCCCCACCATCCCCTCTCTCCTTCCTCTTCTAAACCACAGAAGAGCTTCACTAAAATGGAGCCTCGTGAATCAGCTGCCGCAGGGCAGAAATGCTCAAATAAAGAACTAGTGAAGGAGAAGGTACCTCTGCAAAGAAAGTGGGCGTCTGAGCCTTCTGCGAACACCAAACATAGCACTTTTGCTGACCCGGAAGCTAAACACCGTGAGAGTTTGCCGTGTGGTGCTACCGGGGGATCAGCACCCCAGCAGAAGTACGCAATCACAGGGAATTCTGGAAAGCTGCTATCTGGACCATCTGCAGTTGGGGCCATAGGAGGCCCACCATCTCAAGACCCCCAAGGGCCCTTTGCTCAGGGGTTCCCGAGGGGATACTCCTTTCAGCTGGGCCAGCCATACCCGCAACATCCCCAAACTGAGCGCTTCCTCTCAGGAGCCAAACCACAGCCAGGCCTGGAGCCACATGCCTGGCCATTTGCTGGCCAGTTGCCTTCGGATGACCTGTACCCTGTAGGACACCCGGGCCACACTCACCCACACGGGGCTGGGGCAGGGAGGTTTCCCCGTCAGAAATCTCCCAGTTTACCCAGCTCCTTTGGACAGTATTCTCAATCAGGGCCTGAGCCAGGAGAGGAGGGCTATGGCAAAAAAGAGCAAAAGCCCAAAAAGCCTGGAAAGTACATCTGTCACTACTGTGGTCGAGCTTGCGCCAAGCCCAGCGTACTGAAGAAACACATCCGCTCACATACTGGAGAGAGGCCATATCCTTGTGTACCCTGTGGCTTTTCTTTCAAAACCAAGAGCAACCTTTACAAGCATCGCAAGTCCCATGCTCATGCCATCAAAGCTGGACTCGTACCATTTTCAGAGCTAGCTGTGGCTCGCAGTGGGGACATGGACCAGGCATCCCCAGTGGGCGAGGCGGAGGTGCACTCAGATGGGGAGCAGAGTACAGACACAGATGAGGAAGGCGTAGAGGGCTCCACCATGCTGACGGACAAAGACAGCCCCATCCCACAGATCTCTTTTGAAGCTGACAAGAATACAGGTCATTTTCTTTCTGCAAGGCACATTTTGAAAAAGTCACCATCTTTAAAATCCTCCATTAAAAACAATCACAGAATATCTCTTAAAAGTCATACTTCTCATAAACCAAAACATCTTTGTTCAGACAACTTTTCTTGACTTCTGCCTATTTCATTAGAAATCAACAGATTTTGGGAAGCTTCTAAACCTGCTAATTTATAGTAAATCAGTAGGTGTTAAACTTTTGATGAATAACATATTGTTTGCTATGGACGTTTTTCCAATGACTAAAACCTCTAAATAACAGTGTGATGGTTTAAAATATAAATACATCAATACATTTGGATTTGTGGTGTTACACACTGTTTCTGTTTTTATGTACTTATTTATTCGTATTTCTGCTCAAGATAATAATGATTAATATTCAGTCCTAAATAGCTTTTTGTGTGCATGTGTGTGTCTGTGTGTGTGTGTTATGCGTTACAATATATCACACTGCACTCTTTCTTACTCTATAGGTGGCATAGAACCAGCATATGCGGACTCCGCTGAAGAGCTGTCCATGGGATCTATGAAAGTGCCTATCCTTATCGTTCCCAAGCCTGGGGGAGTCCCCTCCACAGGAATGGAGTGTCCACCCTTTCATGACATAAAGGGGTCACACCACATGTTGGCATCACAGGCTGGTGGGAGAGCACATTCACTGGATGACTCCCCCACTATCAAAAAACGTTTGGCCCTGCGGCTGAATGACAAAAAAGGGCAGGACTGTGACCTCACCATGTCCCAGTCTCTTAACCTCCTCAGTCCTCACAGCAAAGGCAGCACTGACTCTGGCTACTTTTCACGCTCTGAGAGTGCGGAGCAGCAGATCAGCCCTCCTAATACTAATGTCAAGACGTACGAAGAGATTATGTTTGGTCGGACTTGGTACTATCGAACCAAATCCAGATCAAGACAGTCTATCACAGTGGGCATGGCAGGAGCAGACCCCAGTAGCCTTGCTAGCTTAAAGCAACCAGGTGCTATTGTGGACATGGGGAGGAGACCAGATGATCATATGTCTTTCAGAGGAGATGTGGGAATCTCTGGAGATCCCAAGCAGTATCCAACTGGACCCTGCCAAAGCAGTACAGGACTACTTGAGCCTCCATCAGATTCTGGGCCCCTTATTAGGAGTAACTCCATGCCAACATCTTCCCCTCCTAACCTCAGTGTTCCCCAAGGGATAAGAGGAAGCCAATCCTTTGATAACATGGTGGCATCAGATGATGTGTTTTACCCGCCAGGCCATCCCAGACTCACAAGACAGAGTGCATTTGAACATTCAGCCAATGAAGCCCATGTTGGAGACTCTGAGGGCTATGGACACATGCCTAAGAATTTAACATCATCTCTGGGTATTAAGATTGGTGAGCGCAGCCCAGGAGTCCCAGAGCATGTTGCCTACAGTCCATATGGTACTAAAGTTAGCATGTCAGAAATAGCCACAAGAAAAAGGAGGAAAGAGAAGAGTGTTGGGGATGATGAAGACAGCCCTGGACACTGTGACAGTAGCTGTAGTGGTTCAGTAGAAATGATAGGGGAATATGAATTTAAACAAGGTAGTTTCGATGGGTCGAGAGCCACCCCAACAGGGAAAGGCTCTCTTCATAGTGCTCACAGCCAGTCTGACAGCTTTGATACCTGTGCTAGCATGTGCTCTGAGGACATTGCACTATTTGCTGACTCTGAGGGCAGAAAGGCAGCTGGGAATGTCATATCAGTCATCCAGCACACCAACTCCCTCAGTCGTCCTAATTCCTTTGACAAGTCAGAGTCCTTTGAGCAGCCAGGATATCAGCCATCAGACAAAGTTCTATCTAATCAGTACTCTGAACAGTCTGATACAGAGATCTTTGAAGATGCTCTTAGTCCTGAATCAACCCTTCTAAGGACAGAGAGCATGGAGCAGCCGCTACAAAGTGACAGTGACCTAGCCTCCCTTTCACCTTTGTCAGCTGCAGCTTCACCTGGCCAGCCTTATCACATCCCACACAAACTAGTCCGACAACCCAACATTCAAGTTCCTGAGATAAGGGTGACTCCAGAGGAGCCAGACAAGCCTGAGAAGGACACTGAAACGCCAATGTCCAAGGAGCCGGAGAAGCAGCAGCAGCATGTTGAGGAGTTCCAGCTGCCACAAAGGAGTGACACACTTTCCCAGATGCCATCAGAAAAACTTCCACCCAAGAAGAAAAGGCTGCGCCTGGCAGATATGGAGCACTCGTCTGGAGAGTCAAGCTTTGAGTCAACCTGCACCAGTCTTTCTCGCAGCCCTAGTCAGGAGAGTAACCTGTCCCACTCCTCTTCCCTTTCCATGTCCTTTGACAGAGATGAAGGCCTCAAGTCTGTGTCCCCCACTAAACAGGTACCCAATTTTATGTTTAGTCCTTTCAAGTGTTGGACTTAGTCCACGCAATCTTATTAAACCTTTGTGGTATATGCTGGTAGTAACATGGCTAGGGTACATTATCTTTACAGTTTTATAGTTGTAGTGACAAGACTATGCTGTCATGTAGCATCTGTAATAGACGCCATGTTCCCAAACAAAGTGGGAAAAATGTCTTTGTGTTTCTGTACCAGGATGACTCGTTGGCTTCTGGTGGTGGAGCAAAGCAATCAGAGTTCCTCACTGTGCCTGGCAGTGGTTATTCCAGCCACCACCAGCAGAGAGAGATGAGAAGATCTTCATCAGAGCAGGCACCATGCACGCTGCCCACAGAGTTGCCTGAAATGCGGAGCAAATCCTTTGACTATGGAAGCTTGTCCTCCTCCAGACAGGGAGAGCTATACTCCAGTGCCTCTGCAATGAAGGAACGCCGGCGTGGATTTCTTGTTCGACAGGTAAAAATAAATAATGCAATACTTTAAATAATATACTAGAACTCCTGGTTGTCATTTAAAACATTTTTGCTGCTGTAGATTTTTTTTTGAGTTACAGTAGACCCTGACATCAGTGGTAGAGCAAAAGAGACCTTTTTAAGGTCTAATCCACCACTAGATTTTTCTGGTGTCTGTGTACCGCACCTACGTCATTCAAATTTCTTGGCACTATATCAGCATTACATTATTGTTACTTCTGCACTAAGTACCCTAAGTTTTCTTTCCCACTGTTCTTACCCACTTCTATATATTTGACAGGCTTCACTGAGTGTTTATCCAGAGGCAGTCTCCCAGGAGCCAGGAGGTTCTGAAATGTCAATCAAACAGGAGAGTTTGGAACATGGCGCATGGCCTGGTCCAGCAGGATCCCCCCACAGCTGCAGCGACGTGGCCAGCAGACCCAAGAGAGCTGGCACTAACAGTGGTGGTAAGCCTTGCATTATAGTACTTGAATTGTTGTGCAGCATTACATGTCCAAGGTTTTAAGATTTTGTATAACGTTACATTGATTATTACCCTTGAGTCAAAGATTAAGTAAAAACTCAATTCATAGCATCTTAATCATTTGTAATGCACAGTAGCATGTTTTGGTGCCTTTCTCTTTTCAATAAAGTAGGCAGAGTTTACAGTGTGTGGACTACATTTACCTATTCTGTTAGACATTTCTAGTACCAAAAATGTAGGATTTCTCTTACAGGAAAGAATTCAATTTCAAAATCTATTTTTTTTTGTTTTGCATAGGTGTAGGACCTCACCAACATCAACAGCATCACCAGCATATTCTCCAGCAAAGTATCAGTGAGGACAGCCTGCAAGATGAACCTCTCTATAGCAGGTAAGAAAGTTTGTGTTTCTCTATGCAAATCTAAAAGCCTGATTAGTATTTTTTATTGATTACTGTAAGTACTCTTTCAACAATTGCCTGTGCTACTTTTCCAACTTGTTCTACCAACTACTGGTATTGTTTTTTAATACTAAGATGTAGATGAGAAAATTGACTATTCATCTTTTTTCCTTATCAGGTCCCAGCAACATCGCCTGCAAGCCCAGGGCTCATCATCTGAGGGAGAACATCCCGGTCATGACGTCAAAAACAAGGATATAATCCAGCAGTACCAGAGTGGTCCCCCTTATCGTGCATGGTCCCCATCACAGCCAGGTCTATTCTGGAGTCAGGAGGCTGAACAGACACCTAGACAGCAGCAGACCCTCCAGGCCCAACAGCAACTCCAAAAACTCCACATCAGATCACCAGGAAACCTGCCTGGCCACCTACCCCACAAACAGCAACCACTCCACCACCTACAGCAAATCCATGATCAACAGCCATACGATGGAAAGTCAGAAAATCCAAACTCTCAACTTTACACTGCCTCCTTTTCATCTCGCACCTCTCCTCTCTCCCAGCAACAGCAGCAGAACTTAGGATCGATCTCTAAGCTTCCATTACCCAACTCCACTACCCCTTCCATGCTTCTGCAGCAGATCCAACCTGTCTTTGCCACCCAGAACCTGGGCTCCCAGGCCTCTTTGCCTGGTTTACTGGTTCCTGTACGGATCCAAACCCATGTGCCATCATTTGGTAGTGTTATGTACACCAGTGTTAGCCAGCTAATAGCCTCCCATGGAAGTGGGGCACAAGGATTAGGCTCAGCCAGGCAAGGCAGTGTTGACAACAGCAATATGTCTCCCCCAGTCGGGGTTTTGAATGTCAGCAAGCCACCTACAGGAGTTGGAGGAGGCATGAGTGGAACAGGTTTCAACTTATCACACTTCCTAGGACAGACTGATGGTGCATTGCTGCGTTACCCTCTCTGGAAGGGTCCAGATTCACTGCCAGAGCCACGGCTGAACACAGGGATTCCACTGTCACTAACATCAGGCACTATATCAACCACAGACGCCTCAGGATCTGGCATCGGACCCAGCAAGCGCATGCTTTCCCCCGCCAGCTCACTTGAACTCTTTATAGAGACTAAGCAGCAGAAAAGAGTGAAGGAGGAAAGGATGTATGGACAGATTGTCAAAGAGATGAGCGCCGTGGAGCTAAGTGGAACTGAAAGCAGCAGCAAGCCTGAGAAGAGAGGTCAGAGAGCCCATCTAAAAAGTGAAGGCTCTATGGATGATTCTGAAAGGATGTCTTCTTCTCCTCCACTAAGTGACTTCCCAGTTGCCACCAAGATTGCCATTCCTGTCCGTTCATCTGCCCCCCACCTCTCTGATGTACCCCGGGCTGAGAGCTTCACCCCTCCTCTCCAGATTGTCACAGACCGTTCTCCAGTTTCAGGTGGCCGGGACTCCCCAGAGGAGCTTGATGTGGACGATTCAGCTCCAGAGCCCAACTCTAGTCCAGAGTCCATGATCTCCTCCAATGATGCAGAAGATAGTGATAACACAAAGCAGCCTACAGCTAGCAAAATCCCTGTCAGCATGCTGGTTCAGCTTGCTGCCAACCAAAGCGGAGGATTAGCTGGAGCAGTGGGTCAGACTCTGTTACTAACAGATGTGGCTGATGTCCAGCAGTTTTTCCAGTTCCCAAGCCTGCGCACCATGAGCAGAGTCAGCTGGTGTTTCCTGAACTACACCAAACCCAACAGTACACAGGCTGCTTTACGTAGCTCTGTCTACAATTCATGGTGTGTCAGCTCATATAATCCTAATCCTCTGAACCTCAGTACCAAGGCTGCACTGGCTCTGCTGAGGTCCAAACAGAGGAGAAACACTGATTCGATGTACACAGCAGCAGCCATGTCACCACCCAGCTCGGGAAAACTGGTGTCATCTGTGGCCTGGAAGCTGAGGTTTGATCAGGTATGTCCTGTAATGTTGTGAAATATGCAAGTTTTGCACACTACAAAAAGACATACCGAAAAAATAATCAAAGTGTGCTTAAATGGATGCAAATTTAGGGAACTACAAGCACAGTTAGTGTGAAAAGATGTATCGTACCCTGCCCTTCATGCTACTCATCTCTTCGGCTGTCTTTTCTTCTCTCTCTGCAGTTGAAACCAGAGCTGATGCCAGTTGATGTCAGTAATTTTGGGAGGAAGATGAAGGGAGTGGTGTCATGGGACCGTTCGAAGGAGGAGCAGGTAGAGAAGGAAGTCTCAGCCAAACAGCCCGCCACTGAACCGACCCGCATCAAAATCTTCGAAGGCGGGTACGTCCAACAAACATACACACTTCAACAACTACAGTCCAATAAAGTTGCGGAATATTTATCATGTGCATCATAATCTCAAATAATAATCAAATAATAATATTACATGCTTTCTGATGACTGAAATCAACAGAATAACAGTTGTCTAGCAGTTTTTGGCCTCTATGAAATCAAAAAGATAGATGTAACATTCAAGCATTTAAGTGTAACCAGTGGACAATCGAGGGTGATGACGAGGGATGCCATGTCCCTTGTCATTAAAATGACCAAACTGTATTCTTTATGTTCACCTGCGGTCACCCATGTACATGGATATGTGCACTGGTTGGTGATGAGGGCGCACGGAAGTGCTCCCATTGGGCCATCCCAAATCTGTGACTGAAAATGGACCTAAGTAGTCCAATTGTAGTCTAGTATAGCCATACCATACTCTAGCACTGACACAGTGCTATGTAGAATGGTCTGGCTGAACCTCATTATCTTTAAACAGCTCACAGTTGTTTTGGGCAGTACTTAGCTAATGATGCAGCAATGGAGTCTCTTCGTTTTCGTGGAACATTTGCATACAGAATACAAAATTTGGTAAATTGGAAAATTTTGAATGTTCAGTGTGATAGGTTGCTGTTTGGTGGTTGTTGCTGTTATTTCCGGAGTGAGGAGGATTTTGAAAATGGTAACAAGTAAACAATAGAAGGGGACGAGAAAGCTTAGTAACATTTGAGAGTCATTCATCAAACGAAAAAATCTGAGAGATAGCCTTAAGTGGAAATAAACAAATAAATAAACGTTGACATATACATATATGTAATGTATAATTAACATGAATTTATATATGCTTTACAACAATCCTTACAACACCAGACCCTTTGAATTGTCTGTGAACTACATACATACCAAAGATTTTACCAACATGTTCAAACAGAGGAAACAATATTGATTTGGTAGCATGTTAGGTGTCTTTGTCAACACAGTGTCAATGTTCAATGACATACGCAGCTCATGTTTTTTTGGGAGAAAAAATGAGCTGAACTTTGATAGTGACTAAGATCTGGGATTTTGAGCCTCACATAGTAAAAGAAGAAGACTACAGACCTGATTGTAAACCTTAAGGGAACATTTCAGAGTCATGAATCATCTAACTAAACAAACCAATGTCTCAAAATAATAACACACAGTATTGCAAGATGTTTTTGCTCTCTCTCTTTTTTTAAACAAATGTCTTAACGTCCACTGTAGTAACATTTGTATCCAGTTACCAGGTTGCAGAGCGAATTTAGATTTTAACTTAAAAACAAGAGGAAAAAGACAACTGTAAAACTGGGGTGAGAAGAATGTAAGAGACACTCAGACATATAAAATCAAGTAATAACAAATAAATGAAAATAAAACCTTTAGAACTGATGTAGTAAAGCCATGGCTATAATAATATAAGATTTAGGAAGCGATTCAACTCGTTATGTTTAAACCAAGATTTGGAAACAGTGACAGAAACCCAAGTGAGGCTGAATAAGGGCCTCAGATAGCTGAACTCCCCTCACATGAATGAGATAACTGGGGCCTCAGACTCTGAAAATACTGAGCTGTCATTACTTTTTTGCCTTTTTCTTAATCCTAGCAGCTGAATATTCAATAAAAATGAACACTGATGGCCTTTGTGTGAACCGTGAGGACATCTGTTTCATCACGATTAATCAGAAAAATCTGCTTAGTTACAAAAAAGAGACGACTTATCCTTTTACAGCCTATTCTTTGGGCTTAATTTGTGCCTGTGAGGGTCAAGCCAAGAGCCTGAGCCTGGTAAACCCATCACAGGCTAAAGACTCGAGCCGCATCGCTGTAATTGGACGTCAACTTCTATAATTCTTGCTCCCACTTTTATAGACTGATGTGAAGTGGGATCTGTCCCTCATTAGTTGTATTTTAAAGGCTTTTTCACACTGTTTTTCTAACATCAGCAACTGTAGTGTTTATTTATTTTGGTAGTTGCTTAGAGTAGAAGCCCTTTTTAAAAATCCTATGACATTTCTTTATTGAATGTATATGCTTTTTTATGTTTTTCCATTTACAAGTCTTTCATTTATTATCCCATATAGTTAATTATTATTTAATAGTGACTTCAGATTGCGTTATTGCCATTTTAACGCATGATCACAATGTGCCTCGCCCTGCTGATCCTGAACTTAACCTCTTTAGCAAGCTTTGGTTACATTCTGATGGACACGTCGAGGAACAATTTTTGCAGTTTCTTACTTGTCACAACTCTACACAACCTAGAAGATTTCCTCTATACGATGCAGAGTGAGCGCAGAACATATTGTAATCGTCCAACTTTCACAAAACGATCTTTGATGGAAACAATAATTTGTCGTATTCAAACTGCAAGGCTTACTTACAGGCCACAGGTTCACCTCAGCACTACTACAACACCATATCAGCTAACATGGGCCCTGAATTATTAATTAATTATCCAGTCATGTCAAAATCTAGTTTTAAAACCTTTGTTAGTTGTTTGTGTTTCCTATCATACAGATTATTTTCCCAAATAAAGCTGAGTTTGATCAAATCACAGTGCAGTGTCACATCATAACGTCTGAAAGCCACATACAAAAATGTTTTAGTTCTATAATAATACACATATTTTGGAGAAACTAGGTCCTCATGAGAAGGCTTGAGGGCTAGAGGAGGCGTAGACCACAGGGCTTTCACCCAGGAGACTAAGTTTAAGTCCAGTGGGGGACCACTGTTGGTGTTTAAACGCTGTTTATTTTCATTTTCAGGCATTTTTAGTCACTGTGTTAAGCTGCTGTGTCAAGTCATTGTTCTGACTCACTGTTTCTAGTCAGTCTTTGCTTTCGTTTACGCGACAAAATCTCTTGGTTAAGTTAAAGCGTCAAAACTACCTGGTTATGTTCAGGGAAAGATGATGGTTTAGGTTAGAAGACATCCAGGAAAAGACGTTTTAGTTTTTGTCTACTTTCATTTTCAGTTGCTGTCTCTGCCCTTTTCTTAGTTGCTGTTTGCTCTTGTTTATGCAACAAAACTACTTGGTTAAGTTTAGAAAAAGATCATGATTTCACTTAAAATACACCCATGCAAGTGCTAAAGATGAAGCTCCGGTTGTTTTCTGCCTTGCAAGGATGACAGCTTCCACCTTAACAATAACCCCTAAAAAAACCACAAGCACCTCATAATTTTACAACCTTTTTTCTAAAAATGGTCTGTTTTCTGCTGCAGACCAGTTTAGATATTACACATTTATGAGACAGTGGGTTGCAATTCAGTGCAAACTAACACATATTAGGTAATGTTTCAGTGCAGCAGGTGTGGCTGCAGGAAGTAACGGGACCTCGGTAGGCAGGAAACATATTCAGACGGTACCTGGGGGCGTATGGCAAATTTTTTCCCAAATGAAAAACCTTAACAGGTTAATTGAACAAGATGAAACTTTGATGAAATGTGTGGACGTCTCCAAGCATTAAAAACTGTGACGTACCATAAGCTTGTATCCCTGACAACATTTAACATTTGAAAAGTTTGGCCTTTCTTGTTAAACACATCATTTGTTTATTGTCCTAAAGGCTACTTGAAATAATTAATTGATACCCGAATCTACTTTTAGATACCTGGAGTGTGGAGAGATCATTTTCCGGCTGAAAGGAAAGAGATAGTTTTTTTATCGTCACATGGGAACGCTGAGATTTTATGTGGAGTTTAAGGAAATAAAAGGTTTCGTTTGGTAGCAGTGACGCCAAGAAGATCCTATATTATTTATTATGTTGTTAGTAAAGTCGCTTAAAGCTCATTTTCCACATGGAAAGCACAGGCATTAGTATTAAAGTGTACATTCAGTGGACAAATACAGCCTATGTGAGGGAGTTTGAGCTGGAAGCCCCTGTAGAGAGAGACATTCCTACAGTATCATAATGTTTTATAGTCTACAGTAGAGCCAGTAAGACCAAGGTTACTGAATGGAACAGATGGTGCAGAGACACACAATAACATGCAAATATATCCTCACACACACACACTTACAGGGAGTTATTAAATGCAGCAGACAGTGAAGTAATTCTCTCTTGTCCCCAAAGGACACTTTAGGAGCAATAAGTGGATAAAAGCATACAAGCAGGGCATACAGGAGGAGACACACACATGCACCTACATGACCAGTATGCATGTAAGTGATGAGTAAATAGATGTACAAAACGCCACCTTGTAAAATACAATTAAAAATGAAATCCATAAATCCATAAAGTGCAAGTTTTGGCAAAGAAAAGAAATCCATTACAGACTTTATGTCACCTGAAAGTTTCAGTGGTTTTGAAAGCGAATCTCCTTTATGATCTTACCGTGTGCTGTGAATAAAACAGAATAAAAAAATATAATAATCATCATAATTCATTTTCATAACTGGCCGCAGCTGTGTAAACGTCTCGACTCAGACAAGCGTTCAGAGGTATTTCCCAGTCCGCCGTGCAGTTGAAAGACATATTCCCCCTCACCGATGCAGACGGATTGTTTGATGTACCTGATATTTGACCTCCTTTAACACATGAGGCCCTGAACTACTCATTACCCTCTCCTCCAGCCTCTGCAGACAGGACAGGAAACTTCACAGCTCAGCCGCCGTTTTCACTACTTCTCCACAAAGACAAAAAAAAAAACATGTTTTCTTTCTCTTTGGCACATAAAAAAGTAACCTAAATGTGATGCTTCTGCGGTTGAGCAAAGACAGACAAAATTTACCAGCATTTGACTGGTGGTTGGTGGTAATTTTCCTCCATGACAGACAGACTCTTGCAGACATGCACTGATCCTGCTGCCAAGTGTCCGCTGTTTCACTCAAAGCCTCATGTGGGATAGAAAATCACGTCTAACAGTGATGTTTTCTTTTTCTTTTCTTTTTTTTTTTCAAATCTTGTAAAAGAATAAGTGGGACTGCTTGGAGGACTGCGGTTATCTTTTTTTAGAAAATAAGGAGCAGCATGAGGAGGATGAACACCAAAGTCAGAGGTGGAATGCTGCATTGTTTCCCGTTTTAGCTTGAAACAAAAAAAAGGGTTGCTCATCTCACTGGGGTATGATCGGGTCAGCGTAGCGTGTTTTTCTCCTTGTTTGATTCGAGTAGTTTTTTTTTAATCCGGTTGTTTGATAGGAAAAAAATTTAAGAAAGGAAAGCTAATTAGACTTTTAGGTAGTGCACATGTGTTGTCTACTATCCTGATATCAAAATACATTCATGTAAATCATCTTGAGACTCTAATGATACGTCACCAGTTCACTGCAGACATGTCATTATGTGTGCATATAACAGCTAATACATAACATTAAAAAGTGCAGAAATGCCAAAGGCTTATGGCTGATAGTTTGTCTGGATCCAAATGGAGAACACAGACTTGACTGCACAGTTAAACAGGGTTTGTAATGGAGAGGGAAACGAGGGGTTAGAATCCAGAGGTGAGGAGGCTGTTTCTGCCGGCATAGCAGTCTGTAAGTGTGTGGCACTTGATGGCTGGTTGTTCTGAGCGTGGCCTGTGGCTTGGTGCGTGGCTGACTGACCATTTTAAGACAGAGGAGAAGGACGTGGCATCAGGTTTGCAAGGCTGGAGCTTGATAGTGGGAGCGAGCTGGCGAGTAGGCGACCAGAGGAGACGGGAAGCTGAGTCACTAGGAAGTTTCAGGTTAGACTGGGAGCAAAACTTCCATCCAGCCTTTCCCCTTTCTTCCACTTATCTGGGTTTTGGGCGTGGTGGCAGCAGGCTGAGCAGGGCAAACCTGACCAGTCCTCTTCTCAGCAACACCTTCCAGCTCATCCTGGGGGATTCCAAGGCGTTCCAGATCAGATATGTAATCTCTCTGGGATCTGCTCTGAGTTTCATGTACGAAGAAAACCTCCATAGAAGGCGCCCAGGTGGCATCCTTATCAGATGGCTGAACCACCTCAGCTGGCTTCTTTAGGAGCAGCGACTCTGCTCTGAGCTTCCTTTAGAGGTCCGAGGTCCTCACACTGCATCTACGACCAGCCAGCCGCTGCTTTTCAAGCAAATGAGAGACACAGAGAGGTCAAACAAGAGACTAACGGCAGAGGTGCAAACAAAAACTGTAGAAAAACAAGGAATAGGGAACAGAAATAAAAGCACTATGAGACCAAAACAATATTTTTCTAGCAATTTTGTAGTTAGTTTGCATAAAGAAAGAAATTAATATTAAATGCTATATCGTTTTATCAGTATCGTATCTGTCTAAAAATAATAACAATATAATAAAATAATAAATAAAATAAAAACTAGCACAATGAAGTGTTTATTTATTTATTTTTTTTTTTACTTCAGATTCATTTTTAATTTATTATTTGTCTTATCCAATCTGCATCTTCCACACTTCTGATCTTAAATTTTTCACATGTAACATTAGTACATATAATAAATGTGTATGTGTATGTGTATGTTCAGAACCGTTTCCTCGTCGCGTGCTGTTATAGTTTATCAGTGCTGTCCCTGATTGATGCCCCTTTCTTCTTTTTTTATCGACATTGCTAGAAGTTACTCGGGCCATGGGAACCAGTTACATGTTCTGGTCCTTCTTTGTGCTTTGCATCCACCCTGATGTCACGCTATCTGGGCCCTCTCAGGATTTTCTCTCTCTGATGCTCACAGCTGCGGTTGAGCAGAGAAAACCTGATTTCAGCCTTATTTAAGCAGAACCTCTGTGTCAGCAAGCATCTGTGTCCTCGAGCGTGACAGTGGATCTCGACGAGCTGCAGGCCTGCAGACCTTGACCTCTGACCTCTCTGTGGAGGACAGGGAGAGAGATGGAGAGAGAGTTTCTATGACAACCATTAGTGTATCCTACAAAGAAAACAGCAGCATATATATCATCCATCCATCCATTATCTATACACTGCTTAAATCCTCACTAGGGTCATGGGGGGCTGGAGTCTATCCCAGCTGACTCAGGGTGAAGGCAGGGGACACCCTGGACAGGTCACCAGTCTATCACAGGGCTACACTTAGAGACAGACAACCAAGCACACTCACATTCACACCTATGGACAATTTAGAATCACTGATTTACCTCAACATGTTTTTGGACCTTGTGGGAGGAAACCGTAGAACCTGGAGAGAACCCACGCTGCACAGGAAGAACATGCAAACTCCACGCAGTCGTCAACCGGGACATGAACCGGTGACCTTCTAGCTGCGAGGCAACAGTGCTACCAATTGTGCCACCTTGCAGCCCCACATATATATCATTTAATATAAAAGTTTTTATTACCAGCATACGCAGAGGAATTTGCTTCATGTCTCAGTGTGTGTGTGTTTATTATGTACATGCTAACTGGCCCTTAGGGAAAGATAAATACAGTGTGGTGAACTGAACTGCATCCCAACCTGCTGTAGAGAAGTTTCAAAACAGTGTTGGACTGTAGTTGTGCAGTAAAGAGGAATAATAAAGAGGACACCAAGAAGATATTAAATAATACCTCATTTGCTGGGGAACTGGCAATATGGCTTTTCAAACTTTTCTTACAACTTCTTTAGTTATTTTTATTTTTGATTCTTTTTTTTGTTCACGACTAAATTAAAATGTAAATTTTATAATTGCTCTAATTTATTCATGTCCAGCCTGAACGTTTTTGGGGAAAATATCAAAATGTGATTTTTCTGGCAGACATTGTTGTTAATGTTGCATTAGTGCTTTACTTTCTTTCTTTTTTTTTTTTTTTAAATCAAGCTTCAATTCAGGATTCACCATGTAATTCATTTAAAACAGAGAATGCCATGAATTTGTAAAACCACTGACATGAAAGGTTCACCCAGATGCACTGCAGTATATCCTGAGTTACTGCAATTTGCTAACTGTACTGTTTCAAATCATGGTTTGTTTTAGAATCGATGAACTGTATATTCCTATACTACAGAGGGAAAGCAGCAAATATAAAACATTACATCACCAAGATGTTCCTTTCTCTGTCTGCCAGGTATAAATCCAATGAGGACTATGTTTACGTTCGTGGTCGCGGTCGAGGGAAATACATCTGCGAAGAGTGCGGAATCCGTTGCAAGAAGCCCAGCATGCTGAAGAAACACATCCGAACCCACACTGACGTCCGACCGTACGTCTGCAAGTTCTGCAACTTTGCATTCAAGACGAAAGGTAAGGTTATTTATCGTTGTTTGTTGATCTGTCTCTGAATCCAAAGAAGACACAGACTTTTAAATGCCTGTAGTTTAACTGCATGCTGTAGATATCTAAAGCTAAAGTCCAATAACTGTGTGATGAATTAGCTCCTCGACAGTGAAAAAGCTTTTAGAAGATCATTTCAACCAACACTATCAACATAAACATGTGGAATACAAGCATGATCACATAATTCCTGGTGTTAGCAGCCTTTTAAAGCGGGTTTTATCAGAAAACAAACCCGACATCAGGTCCTTTCTTTACCAGGCTGAAGAATGAAATCTGAAAATGTAGAACTAAGCAGCTAAATGAATGAATAAAACATGCAGACAGGCTGTTTTCTGCAGCTGTGGTCAGACAGGAACCTCCATCATATCAGGGGCTAAAGATGCTGACGAGCCGATATCTGATCCTTAATAAAAAGCCATTATCTGCCTGATAGATTTGCAAACCTGTGTGCAAAGTATGTGTATGTGACTTTGCATTCAGCCAACTGAAGCAGAGTTCAGACCAGGTTGAGCAATTTTGTCATTAAATTACATTATGTATAAATTATATATAATTTGTAAATTGTAATTTTGTGGTCTTGCTCTTTCTTCCACTACTTCTATTTCCATTTCAGCCTCTTTCTGTTACACTCTTGTGTTGGTGCAGCCAAACAAGCTCTAGTTTCCAGTAAGACTAGTCGAAGGGTCATTAAATGGTGTTTGTGTGTGTGTGTGTGTGTGTCTTACAGGAAACCTGACGAAGCACATGAAGTCTAAGGCTCATATGAAAAAGTGTCTGGATCTGGGAGTCTCCATGTCTTCGGTCGAGGACACGGAGGCAGATGAAGGAGGTAGGAAAAGCACACGAGTCTCACACACACACACACACACACACACACACACACACACACACACACACACACTCGCACACACGCTCCAGGAGCTGCAGTGACATCCTGATCTTGTTGAGTGCTGCCTGCAGTGTCTTTGGCTCGGTGCGGGCGTACAGGGACAATTAGTGTAATGGAAAGCAGAGCTCATCCTGACAGCCAGGACTCATGTCAAACAACCACACTTGACGCACAGGCTACCTTTAAAAAACAGAGGGAGGATAAAAGAAATAAATAAAATCAGTCCACTATTTTGCTGTCTCTTATTACATTAAAAAAAAATCCTGTCAAGATCTCCAGGAGCAATTTTATTTTCCGTCAGTTACTCTACAAACGTATTAGCCGATGATCACGTTTGACGGGGTTGGCGAGTTTAACCCAAGCAATCTGCCATCCCATTAATCAGCTGATATGGAAATAATCTGAAAATTATTACTGGGGAAGATGTTGTGGGCTGAGAGGGATGAACATGATTTCCCATGAAATATTCACAAATAATAAATTCTCGTCAGCTGCCTCTCGAGGCTGTGACAGTTTCTGAGCAGACGAGCAGGATTCAGTGTCTCGTTAATCTTCTGATGCCTTGATAATGAAGATGGAAATTAGTGGGATTATTTTTATATTCTTTAGAGTTTGGTTTTTTTGGCCAGGAACAACAACTGAGTTTTTAGTTGTTTGTTTGTCGCTACATCTCTTATTACCGTCAAATCCCACGAAAACCAAAACTAACAATAAATGAAGCCGACTAACAAGAATTATCTGTGTATGCAAAGCCTGATAAATGGTATTCCTCTGTGGCACGGAGCTCCACTGTTGTCCAAAAACAAGTGACATGTTCCTTCATTAACATGTACACACACACTGTATTTTATGTTGACTTCATCTCCAATAAACCATTCTAAGAGCAACAAATGCTGATTAATCCGCCACAGAAAGTAGTCCCCAACAAATGCACTATTCCTCCTGTTTGAGTGATGTTTGATTAAACTACAGTTTCTTTTCAAAGTTGCTTTTTAAGATGAAGCTGTTTTTGTGACCAATGAAAATGTGTTGGTTTTAGTCTTTTTATTGAATTTGTTCACCATAAAACAATATAACGTAACAACTACTGTTAGATTGTAGATGACTAGATAAAATGTGGGGTAGCTGTTAAATGTAACAAAACTGTTTGTGAAAATTATAATTAATCATCAGTAACATAAGTTGCTTCATCAGTTTTTTAAATTTAAAATTTTTGGACTTTATAGCCACAAAAAGTTAAGTCCACAAAATCTTGTATCTTTTCTTGTTGTCTTGTTATACAGTTTAACACTGTTGGCTACAAAGCAGAATAATATAGTTAGAATTCAGTGTTTAATGATTTTCTCATAAATGTATTATTATTATTATGTAGCTAAAATTTCACAAATCTGAGTAAATCAAAATTAATAATTTTACCACTTTACTAATGATCATCTATCATTTTTTCATGTTTTTATGAAGTTGTTTTTCTGGTCTACCACATCATAGCATATCATGTGTTTTCACTGTTGAGCAGCTAATGTTTTCTAGATGATCTGTGAGACTTTGAATAAACACCACTGCGCTCTAATTAGGAGCATCTTCTAAATGCCCCAAACACTTACTGTAATTCGCTCCAGGGCTCCTGGGGAACAGCAAGTAAACGGGTTAAAACCACTTAAGCAGGTGTTTTGGGACAGAAATGATGGCTGTTTAGTATCAGATCACTGCTGTCAGTCATTACCGTCATATTTTACCAGTATGGGACTGGTGGCTGGTGGTAATTTCCCACCGTGCAGACCGCCAAATTAAATTTTACTTCAGTTGACCCCTGGTGTGTGTTTTGGCCCGGAATTTAATTGGGACACGATCCCACACATGCACAGAGTTTTTTTGGGAAAGAGAGAGCTAGTCAGTGAGTCACTGAGACATAAACATTGGCGGTTTGTGAAAAACTGTTGTATATAAGAGACTAACTGGAAAAGTAGTCCAGTGTTAGTGGATCTGATTTCCGCTCAGCGGCTGCCTAAATGCAGCTTATTAACTCCAAGCTGCTGCTGCTTCTCTGTGTTTGGAGGTGAACCAAATAAAATTAATCAGAGCAGGTCAGGTATAGCGTGCATCTCTGTCAACCTTGACACTTTGAAAAGAAGCAAAAACAAGCCAACTTTTTCATTCCCAGAACTCACTGTGTTTTCAGTGTTATTCCATTATCGGCCAATCAGCTGACACTTTTTATAATAAAGTCAGATTCAAAGTGTTGGTTACCTGCCAACAGTAAACTTTGCAGCTACTACACAATCAGACCTTTCCAACATTTGGCTGGAGTCCAGCAGAAAAACCAAAGTGTCGAGGGTTTAGTCTCAAATAGCTGTGTTTTATTGTGTTTTAAGTTTTATTGGTTTGAGCTGGTGGGAATGAGGTTTCAGTGGTCGAAGCTCGCTCTGTTACCACATATTAATACGAAACATTTTCTCTCTCCACTCATCTTTCTGCTCTTCTCTCGTTTGTCATTTGCTTCCTTTATTTTTACTTCTCCTGTCTCCTCTCATTGTGTCTTCTTTTCCTGTCTTCATTATTCCTTCTTTCTCGTTTTACCTCTTCCATGCCAACTTCCCGACTTTCTCCTTTTTTTTTCTTCTTTTATGCGTCTCATGCTGTCTTTTCTTCTCCATAATCTTCTATTGTCACTTCTTCCTCTTGCTTCTCTTCCCTTCTTTCCTCTATGTTCTTTTAAAGATGTTGGAGATGAAGGCCAGAGGTCCTCTGAGAAGACTTCCAGAGGCGCCATGGCGGAGCACCAGTTCTCAGACGCTGACGACTCCGAGGGTGGTGAGGAAGACGGCGATGAGGTGGATGATGAAGACGATGAAGAGGATGACTACGACGGTGACTCCACCCCGAAGACTCGCTCGCGCTCCACCAGCCCGCAGCCTTACGGCCTGCCCTCGATGTCCATCACAGCCGTGGCCTCCTCCCACCCCGCGCCTCACCTCTCTCATCATCCTGACCTTCTGGGAAACACCAACAAGCCGCCTCTGTTTGGCTACTTCACCACCGTTCCGAGCATCCAGATCACGCCGCAGGCTCCGCCCAGCGACCCGGCCGCCAGGGATCGCATTCAGACCGACTACCAACGAGGACAGCAGCGGCCGCTGGGTAGCAGGCTGCTGGTTCCTCCCTCCTCTTCCTCCTCCATGGATGAAGACCTCCCAGTCCCCTCCCCAGACCTCTCCTCCCCCTCCTCTCGCCTGTCCTCACCCGGGTTGGACCACTCCGGCTGTCCGTCCCCCATCTCCCCATCCTCCTCACCCTCATCCCGCCGTTACCTCTCCCCACGTCGGGACCTCTCGCCTCGTGCTGGACACCTCTCACCCCGGCGGGACATCTCTCCGCTACGTCACATCTCCCCTAAAAGGGACCTGGGGGCAGCAGGAGGGTACCGGCGAGACCTTTCGCCCAGAAGGGGACACCCCTTTCTGCTCTCCCCTCTCTCTCGGCCCACGTCTCCGGCAGGAAGAGACTTCAAGCGTGACCTTTCGCCACGAGGCCGCCACAGGGGGATGATCCGGCCGGTGTCTCCTCGCCGAGGGCTCCACCAACACCTCCACCACCAAAGGTGAGCTGGGATACTTCTGACAGATGGTCGCCTCAGTGTTGTCCTAATTTTGTCTTCATGTTCAGGGGATTGTTCCAAATGTGGTAGTGATGTCCCAAACCAAATCCTAGCATCACAATCAGAGATAATCACAAAAAGCATCAGTTTTGGCCCAGAACCAGGTCTTTCTTTACATTTCTTACCATGGAGGTGTAAAAAAAAAAAAAAAGAATATGTAAAAGCAGTTATCAGATATTCCACTAGGATTAATGTCTTGATTTATTTCACACAAGTGAATGGCTGTTGTCTGGCAGGAAGTCATGAAGCCTCACAGAAGTCTTTCTCATGCTGTTAGACCGCAGAGCCAAAAGTAGCACATTTCAGAAATATTTCTACATAGGAAATCCCTTAAAAAACAACAACAACAATGCAGATAAATGCAAAAATGCTGCAGACCCATCTTTTGCCACGTGAGCAGAAGATGGGTCTGCTGGGGTTCCTGCATGTCGGGGTTTGGATGAACGGCCTGAGGGTCTTTAAGAACGGCTTCGTGGGAAATGTTCTGGGGGAAGGATTTGTCTTTGGTGGGGTCTTTGTCATCAGACAAGGAGAGCAGGGAATTCTTCTGGAGCACAGGGAGATGGAGTTTGGAGATAAAGAGGTCATCTGAACTGTCAGGAGAATATCACAGGAGCTGCAGCCTTTATAAAGCTTTGTAACCAACAGCTAACAACAAAACGTATCCAGTTTGACTTACGAGTGTCTCTTATTATGAAGAAATAAAGTTGAACAGATGAACTTTTCACTCTTGGTGCAGATTTAATGTGATATTTCTGCTTGTTTGTGATGAGCAGCCAGCAGAGCGGAGCGCGAGGCCTGAGGCCGAGTCATCAGACTGGAGTGTTGGGTCAGGGAGAGTTCGGCCCTCTGGGACATCGCAGAGCCAGCACAGAAATGGAGACGGTAAGAGTCTCATCAAGTCGACTCATTTATCACTGACATTCTAATTGTATGATTATCTTATTTGTCTCTATTTTGTATGTTCTTCCAACTTTCGTCTTCATCTGTTTTTGGTTTGCTGAAGTTGCCACTTTTATTCACTTGTTAGTCTCACATCCAGACTGGAGGTGGAGCATGAATATAGTGTTTGTTATATGCTGAAGGTTAAATGTATTTAAAGCTACACGAGGCACCTTTGCTTTTTGGCTTTTAAACTTTGGAGCTCTTTACTCATTCAGTTATCTGTGTGCTTCTCTTCTACAGGCTTAAGTTTACTGTAAACAAGGTAATCATTCAGCAGCAGTTAATCCTGGTTCCTCTAAACAAAGCACTCACCGGCTACGCTTTAAGTTTCGCCTTTAAGTTTAGATTGTTTTTATTAGGTGTGGCAGCAGAGCACTTTGGCAAGCTGAGGGGAATTTTTAGCATCTTTGTTAACAGTGCTGCACTTCTCTTTATGACTCAATACATTAAAAATAATTGAAGGCTTTGTCAGAAACATTTGCCTCATTAAAGAATACCAATAGGCAACATTAACATTTATGGAGTTAACTGATTTTCTGAAGTTTGTGGTGCTGGTGTGTGACTTTCATGTGGAAAACCCGACGAAAGAGGAGGAGAAAGAGGAAGGAAAGAAAGGCACAGAGAGAGAGAAACTGACGGAGACGAGGCAGGGAGAGGAGAACGTCTGGCAGACAGAGCGGGAACACAGGGCGAGTCAGATAGACGGAGAGTGTTAGAGAGAGGGATGATTAAAGATAGGGCTGCTGGGTTTTGGTGGAAATGGGATCTTGGCTGGTGGTGGTGTGGTTAATAACGCGGCTGTTTTTCTTCTTAAGAGCCCTTCTTCAAACTGGGGCTCCTGCTGCTGGTCCCACTTAAACAAAGCCGAGAGGGAGAGTGACTCAAATAACAGATTTATGTTTTAACAACCGTTATTCATTCATATGCAAGAAATCTGACTGAGCCTTCGTGCTTGTGTTTGTTTTCTTTCTTATATCACCTGCTGTCCAGCGCCACCACACATTTCTGTTTTTACACTTTCCATCAAAGTTTATTGGTTTATTTTGTGACATAAGATCTGGTTTTCCATCCCCTCAGATGTGTGTCTGCGGTAACTAGTACTGACCAATAAGTGTGTGTGTGTGTGTGTGTGTGTGTGTGTGTTGTGGGTTTGTGTCTCAAAAATAACTTGCTGGAGGACGATTGATCAGTTTGATTTTCTGTCCAAGAAGAAATTTTCACATCAACTCGTTGGTTCATGACTACAGCCGCGGATGACGGCGTGTTTTTTAACGTCACTTTCGGTTGTGTTTCTAGGAACATTGTCCAGATTCACTGTCGCCAGGGGAACGGGACCAGGGTGGTAGCCGCGGCAACCAATCCAGCCCACCCCACCAAGTTTTGTTCAGTCACCTTCCTCTCCATTCACAACTCCAGGTATTTCATTTTCTTACTTTCTTTTCTTTTTTTTCTTTTTTTTTTTTTTTTACCGTTAATTACATTTTAATTTTACGTTTTGTTTTATTATATTTTATCTAGTAAAATGCCTTTAAAATAAAATTTCTTTAGATGTTTTTATGTAGTTAATTAGATTTTATACATTTTGGACCATTTTTTTTAGCTATAGTTTTGCATTTTTTTGTGATATTTATTATATATGATATTATTTTTATCATATTTTGTGTTTATTAATGTATTATTCTGAGATAAGGTTATGGCTATTTTGTATATTTCACTTTAAATTGTAGGCTGCAAAGCATTTTGTAAATACTTTCAGTACCTTAAAATATTTTTGTAGAAGAGTTGGAGCAAATTGATAGAATACGTGATATTAAAAATAATGCAGCACATGTTTTAAATGTAAGATGCTACTTTAATAGTGCTGCTTTGTGACCATTAAAGGTTAAAGGTCAAGTGTGAAATTCAATAGTAAGACAAAAACAGTCTCTCCAAGTTCACTGGAGCAAAAGTTTTCTCATGTAAAAATAAATCATTATTTTCAGTCTTGGATTAACACACATCAGATGCTGTAGTGAGTATCTGGGTCTGAGTAAAGTACAAAGTAAGGTACACAGAGGTGTGTGCTCTTGTTAATGAAGGATCATGTGACCCAGTCCAACAGTGTGGCTCATAGCTGTGTGTTATTAAATACTGCCAACATCCTCCGACTTGTCATGTCACTGAAAATGAAATGTTCTTCTCAGGTGCGCTCACCTTTCCCGATGATCCCCATCGGAGGGATCCAGATGGTACACTCCGTCCCCACGTCCGTCACCACCCCTCTGGCTCAGCAGGGGGCGCCGCAGGTCGCCTCCCGCCTGTCGCTGCAGAAGAGCACGTCGGAGGACTCCACCACCGGCGAGACCACTTCCACGCATTTCACCTCCTTCCCCGAGAGGGGAGGGCGAAGAGGAGTAGTAACGGAGAGGGTGAGGGAATCGACGTCGCCTCACCGGTACTCACAGGAGAAGGAGGGAGGAGGGGTGAGGCGGGAGCAGGAGCAGGAGGAGAGCATCCACACCTGCACCAAGGCCATCGCCTCCCTCTGCATCGACTCCGAGGAGAACGCAGAGAGAGGAGGAGGAGGAGGAGGAGGAGGAGGAGGAGGCAGAGGGGATGAAGGGAGAGATGGAGGCAGAGCTCCCTCCTCCTCCTCCTCCCCTTTAGCACCCGACTCCCATCAACTACAGCAGCGCTCGACACCCGTCTCCATGTCACCGCCGTCTCCCCACCCCTCACCGTCTCCCCCTCAAGGTCCTGGGATTCAGCACTTTAGCGGCCTGGAGCTCAGGCCTCACCACCCATCAATCCCTGCCTCCCCTCACTCCTCCTCTTCCTCCGCCTCCTCTCCTCACCCTCCCAGCCCTGGATGTGACACTCTACAGCCTCCAGCAGCATCCAAGCCTCTCAAGCTGGAGAGAGACAGGGAGGCAGAAAGCACAAAAAGAAGCAAGGACGTGTCGTAGTGCTGCAGAAGAAGAACAAGCGCAGGAGAAACGATGGATGTCTTTTTATGTCGTTGTTTTTGGATAATAGGAAGGGATGAAGTGCAACAGAGAGAGAAATAATGACTTTTGCACACTTTACATTTCTTCTAATTCAACTGACACACACACAGACACTCTCTCTCTTACACACACATACACACAACGCAGACAAAGAAAAACAGCTCTTGTCAAAAAACAAACAAACTGAAAAGGACTTCTTCAGTTTTAATGTATGTGTACAGCATGCCTGTTTTAACCAGGACCTCCCATCAGAGACTTTCTTATTTAAAGAGGATTTGCATACACATGTACGGTAACTCCCACCAACACGAGCCCGACCAAAATGAAAAAGGACTCCAGTTTAAACGGTACGTCAAAAAAGAAAAAAGAAAAAAAATTGGACAGCTACGTGTGTGCCTTTTCTTTAATCTCTCTCTCTCTCTCTTTTTTTTTTTTTTTTTTGCTTATATTCTTATAAGCAAACAAAAGCAGGAAGGTAAATGTAAATACAGTACAATACTATCACGTTTTGCGTATCAGCTTTGTAATAAATGCAATCCCACTCCTCCTTCCCCTTTCTTCCTCCTCCCAACTCCTGCATTTCTTTTATTGTTTTGTTTTTTTTCAGACACCTTAAAAGTCTCGACAAGCGATGTGAAGTTATGGATATTACTATTACGTACGGTTGCACTAAAACATATTTTTATATGAGTGAAATTTAAAAAATGGCTTTTTTGTGTACAGCAGCAATTCTATAATACTATTTATTATTGTTACCATGTTTCATAAATTGTACATTTTTTCTTAAATGTCGTGGATGCCTTTTTCTATGTAAAGCATGGGTTTTTTGCTATCGCTTACATTAGGGCGAGGATATGTACACTGTAATATGGCTTTATATGTTAGACCTATTTATATACGTCTAAGTGAGCCCCCTCTACTTGGAGGTATATACACATAGAAGATTTACCAGAATATTTACCCAGCATATGAATACATACAGTATATAGAATCTATCAACCTGTCTATCTATCTATCGATCTATCTATCTATCTATCTATCTATCTATCTATCTATCTATCTGCACTTAACATTTAGAATGACATTCACATTAAGGTTATGGTAGTTTGCTTGTACATTTTCTCTGCTGCTCTTTGCCTGTCCCTGGTTGTGATTTTTCCAGTTTTTTGTTTTTTTTTTTACTTTTGTGGTATTATTTCTTGTTTTTGTTCTTTTTTTGTTTTGTTTTGTTTTGATTTTTACAAGGCACGGACTTGCTCTCAGCATTAAGTGAATGAACATGCCTTCTTGCTCCGTGGCATTCTGCTTCAATGTTGGTTTTAACTCCGCCCCCTTCACACACCCCTCACTCCGCCCCAACATCCATCTGCATTCAAGACTAACCTTGAGTAAAGGTAGCTCCGCATTCTTGAAGAAACAAAAGCTTTTTTTTTTTTTGCTTTTTTTTTCATCAGATAGCTAAACGGGGAAAACATTCCAGTCCATGTAAATATCCAGCCATCTCCCCCTAAACACTTTTTTTTTTTGGCATTGATGCACATTGTGGCCATGGCAATCAACCCACTGACACTCTTATTTAATGGCTTTATTTCTGGGGACACGTATACAAACACATACACCAAACTTCCTGACAAATGCACCTTATATTTCTTCTATGGAAGTCCCGCCGCTCTGATTCGTTTTTTGCAGCAAATTTTTGATTGAGATTCAAGGGTTTAAGAGGGGAACTGCTCTGCACTCTGAACCCTAAGACTGTCTGAAAAAATCCAGTAATAATAATAATAATAAGAATAATACATTTGACAGTTGTGACATTGAGGCTTTCTACACTGCTTTTTTTTGGCCCTTCTGTTGTCCCTCCTCCTCTTCTGGACATCCCTTTTGTAGCTAAGCAATATTTAGCCAAAACTCTGCTCATCAGCAGGGAGTGTATTTGTTGCAAGGCAACAACAGAGTACCTTAAAATCCTAAAATCAGGAGAAGAAGGGAGCAGTTGGGGCTGTGGTGATTTCGGTGACACAACTCTTTTCTCTTTTTGACAGTTTCGGGCTGAGTCGGGCAGGCTGCAATGTGAGTGTGTATCTCTGTATTCTGTATCGGTGTGTATTCGACCAGTATATCCTCTTCTTACGACTTTTTTCTATTTCGATCCTCCCTCTGTTATGTACACTTATCATGACGACAATGATGTCTTTAAAAAACTTTTTCTCTCTTTCTGAAGATATCAAAGCACAAGTCATTGTATAGAAATGACAACAATACAAAAAAGGAAAAAAAAAAAAAAAAAAGGTAAACGTGCATATAAAAGGGTAACTTTTGTGATGGTGTTCTGTGGAATTAATACGAATATCATGTATGACCCCAGTTGCAACAAGGAATCGCAGTAGAAGTGGAAGAAATGGATTGTTGTTTTCAAATAAATATGAATAGAATAACTTGTGTGTGTCTGTGTTTTACCAATGACTGTATATTTAAATCTTCACACCATGTAGTGTTTTAAACGGTACGATTTATCAAACGTCTGTGTGTAGTGTGAATGGTGTTGCTGTGCAAAATTAGTGAAAAGGAATCACCAATTTTGTGGCATCTTTTATCTAATTTTTTAGGGGGTTTCCCACAAATTCTAACAGCATCGACAGCTGTCCACATCCCATCGATTTTCTTATTGATTTCTTAAGCTGCTCTGAGGTCGGGTCTCAGTGGCAGCAGGCTGAACATGGCATCCAGACGTTTTCCTTCTCAGGCCAGATGAGATATAATTCCTCCAGGGAGTTCTGGGTTTACCCTGGAATCTCCTCTCAGCTGCCACAGGGAGCTACCCAGGAGGGATCCTTATCAGATGTCCAAACCACTTCAGATGACTCCTGTCAGTGTGAGGGTGCAGCATCTCTACTCCGTATGGATGTCCAAGCACCTCACAACATCTCTATGAGTCCAGCCAGCCCACACTGTAATAAAGCTGAGAAACTTGGTTGCAAGAGTGACAGACAGGGCTTTGTTAAAAACAGTTGAGTTCTACAATATTTTTTAAAAAAAACATAAAATCTAAACATCTATAGATTATACATAGATAATTTGTTATATTTTTTAAATATAGTAAAACTAATTTTATGATTAATTTATGGTAAGTTTTATAGTAAAAAAAAAAAAAAACAAAAACAAATGATGTTTGATATGAACATATATTATATTATATTATATTATATTATATTATATTATATTATATTATATTATATTATACTATTTTTATGGTATTTTTGCTGATTTGAATGCAGTAAAGCAAAGTGTCATTTTATAGTCAAGGAAATAAAAGAATGAATTCCCATTTTGAAAAAAAAATCTTCAATTTTACTAGATATTTTCTGTAGTTTAACAAAACAGGGGGGAAAAAAATGTTAACAAAAAACCCAAACAAATAAACCCTGTTCAAAAAACATGTTCACAAAGATTGCAAAGGTGTGAGACTGTACAATTACCTTTAGTATCATTTGTTTTTAGGAGTGCATTGCTATCATTCTGCTGATTTATTGTGTAGCGGTTAATATACACATGCCTTTGCTTGAATCTGTCGTTTATTTAAGGCTTCATACTGTCCTATAAAAAATCTTCATGTACCTGTTTGTTCCAGCCAGGGGCGCCGCGGTGTTTGAACACTTGCCCACAGGCGCTGAGATCAGTGTGCGGTTCCCGACAGCGGTGCTCCTGTTTTCACTGCGCGCTCCATCAAACACAGTTGGCAGTGTTGGCGGGTGGGAAACCAGTGAGGGATCACGTCCTTGTCGTTGCCCTCGTGATTCCTAATGGCTGATGGCAGGAGCAGGAGGATGGATATGAGGGCAAGGCGTGGACCTGCCAATAATTCCCCTCAGTGGCAGGTGAAGGGAAGCAGCTTGTGAATCTGTATGTGTCAGAGGAGACACTCGGGAGTCTGGAGCCTCCACAGATCAATACCGACTGGGAGTCAGCTGTCAGTCCTGTTACCTCCTCGCTGCCATCATCCATTCATTCACTCATCGCCTACCTGCCCTGCACCCATCTCCGGATTCACCACACCCACTCACACACCTGCTTCCCACTCCCCCGCAGCCCTCTTTCCCCAGATAGTTGTATCATTCATGTTCGCTGTTCTTGTCATCCTGCTGCTTTACCTGTCTGCCAGTGAGCATTTATCATCACTGTCTCCTCTAATAAAGTCACCGGCCTGCCTGCTTGTCCTGCATTTGGGTCATCTTTCCCGTCGCAGTGACGATCAGAGGCTGCAGTCATGCGGCTATTCCAAAAACTGAAGGTACAAAAAGGATCGAATCAAAAAAAACAAAACACACACACACAGTAAAGAACAGACATTTTCCACTAAGTCTTGTGTAAGTATTTTTCACACATCGGAACTGACACACTGCTGCTGCTTGGCATGTCTTTCAAATTTGTTCACATTCTGTTTTGTGCCTCCGCTGACTCAACTGTCAATCAAACACGTCCAATGTCTTATTCCCTCGGAGACTGGGAGGCTAAAGGAATATTTCTGACATGTCTCTATTTTTCAGAAACTCGACTGCAAAAGGAACAAATTTTGTCATTTCAGTTGGGCGCAGTCCAAAAACACGGGATTTCATTTGTGCAAAAGAAGACCGAAGGACAACACAATGGTATCATCATCAGGCAGTTTGGTAAAGATCCATCCCTTTAATATGTCTTTGCATTTGTAATTAACAGCTCCCACTTGCAGTAATGTCAATAGTAACACCAGCAGCAATGACATGGAATAAGTCATGACAGCAGCTGCAGTGTTGGTGTCAGTGGAAGCACATGAAGAGTGTATTTGAAAACACTGTTTGAACAAGGTCAGTTAATAAGTCCTCAGTGCATATGACTAACAGTATTAATGTCTTTATTCTGCCTTCACCCTCTTTTCTATCTCAGTCATATTTCTAATTTTAATGCAGTCCTTGTCATTAGCCATGTCCCACATATGTCTACCTGTCTACATCTTTTGTTTTTTTTGTTTTTTTCTTCCTCCTTTTTGTTGACACAACTGGGTTGGTGTCAACTTACATTTATTCTGTCAGTCTGTCCACATGTCGGTGAGTCCCGTGGCCTTTGATAGAAGATGATCAAGCGAGTTATTTT